GGGGATCCCGAAAGCCTGCCGTGCTGTTCCGCACAAGAATTACCAGTGTCCACGGTGTGCACGCGCGTGTGAGCAGGCGTGAGAGGGAAGAGGAAGCCGGGTCCCCTGCGGTGAGCGCTCTCCCGGAAGAGTCCCTCGGGGGCAAGCGCGTGGGTGAGGAAAGGGCACCGGCTCTCCGTGCAGCAGCGCGGCCGCCTGGCGAGAGCAGCAAGGCAGTGACCCGAGGGCTGGCGGAGGGGCGGAGGCGGGGTAGAGACCCGGAAACTACACACAGGACACCAGCGTCAAGACCCCACGGAGGGTGTGATGCCAGTGGTACCAGGCAGGGTAGAGCCGGCAGTTCTCCAAGTGCAAGCCAGGAAACTCCAGGCATCCCCAAACCCTCCTGGGGACAGGGTTTTCACACTAAGGTGTGACTTGCTAGTCTCGTGATCAGTCCACGAAGGGTGGAGGCCTTCAGAGGCCACAGGAAGGGTGACACTGTGGCCAACCGAGGGTAAAAGCAGACAGGAGGATGCAGCCGGCTTCCATTAAGCCAGAAATTAAGAAATATACAAAATGGAAAACAATACCACTCTTCTTTTTTTTTTTTAAGCAGGCAGGAAGATTGAACCTAGGGCCACTGTACAGAGCTATATCCCCAGCCCTTTTTATTTTTTATTTTGAGACAGAATCTTAAGTTGCCCAACTCGGCCTGAACTTGAGATCCTCCTGCCTTAGCCTCTCAGGGTACTGAGATAACAAGTGCACACCACCAGGCCTAGCTAATTTTGTCTGTTTAGAAAATTGTCATTTTTCATAAAAATATCGTCTGCTTATTACTCAATCACACGAAGCTTTCTCAGTTTTAAGTTCTAGTGCTGAACACACCAGAGATGAAATTCAGTGAACAAGAGCTCTCTGGCCCTTGGTATGGTTGAGACCTAGGGCTGGCTCCAAGAGGGAAGTGCAGTGAGCAATCAGAGCGGGGGCTGCTCAGCCTGTGTGAGGCTGTGACCAGGGTCAGGGCTGGGGACCACACTGGCTGTCAGTCACATTACCACCTGTGGGCAGGGCCAACAGGAGCTGTGCTGCGCTTTGACCTTTGGTGGCAGCAGGAGCAGGAAGATTTTTAGCCGGAGCCAGACATGAGCAAGGTGAGGCCCTCCGGGAAAGGGAAAGGCACCTACCCAGCGCAGAGCTTGCAGCAAGAAGGCTTTCAGGCGGTCACTCCCCCAAATCAAGTCCTTCTTCAGCTTCTCGTAGTCCAGTGAGGGCAGCAGGGGGACGTCCTGCAGTTTCCTGCTCACAGTTGGAAGGGAAAGGAGAAGACACATCGCTTGGGAGCTGGTCGGGGTGCCCGGCTGCACCTGCCCGGCCTCCACACATTGCAGCCCAGGTGGCCAGCTTGGCCCCGCCTGCTCTGTTTGTGGACCGAGGTTTTGAGACAGAATCTCGCTATGCAGCTCAGGCTGGCCTCAAACTCATGGCGATCTTCCTGCCTCTGAGTCCCAAATGCTGGGGTCACACAGCTTATTATTATTTTTTTAAATCACATTTTTCCTAAAATCAAGTGTCTGCCTGAACAGCTGTGGAGGCCACCGCAGTCACTACAGGCCCAGGCTCCCCCTGGTGGTGACGGTGGTGACGGAGTCACCTTGGGGCCGTCTTAATTTTCCACCAAGCTCTGTTCTGACTGAGCAAAGCCCACAGGCCTGGAGAGTTCCACTTGAAAACCTCAGGCTGCCAGGGATTTAGCTCAGTGGTTCCGCAAGTGCAAGGTCCCAAGTTTGAACCCTGGTACCAAAAAAAAAAAAAAAAAAAAAAAAAAAAAAAAAAAGGAAACCTCAGGCTACTGTCCCTGTCCAGCCTACGGAATCAATCAGCAGGACAGGGTCAGGAAACTATTGCAAGGAGGGAGGGGAGGACACTGGACACTCAGTGGGGGACAGAGGATGCCAGCTGACCCTGCAAGAAGCCCTGAGTTGGAGACCACAGGCTCTGACTGGAGGCCCACAGGGTGCCAGGGGACTCGAGAGAGACCACTTCCAGCTCCCTGGCACCATGACACGTGTCCTCGTATCTTGTTTTGTTGGGAAAACTGCTGGGAGCGGGTGGGATCCTGCTAAGGACCCCATCTCTACATTACGTCCTCCTGCTGTCAGGTGAGAGACGTCACCACCGGCGAGGCCGGGGACTCCCACCTCCCGTGAGTCCGCCATTCCTTCAAATTAAAGACTGAACTAAAAAAGAGGGTTCTTCCAGTTTTAAGGGACAAAAGAGACCATACAATATAAATGGAGAGTCACAAGGAGTCTGGAGAAGACTGAAGATGCCGTTTTGGGGTTTTTGCAGTGCTGGGCAGGGAACCCGGAGCCTCAGGTGCGCTCCGCCAAGCTACCCAGCAAGACCTTTCCTGAACTTCACTCCCAGACTAGCTCCCCGAGGTGCCCAGGCTGGCCTCACATTTTCTATTCTCCTGCCTCAGCCTCCCCAGTGACCATTCAGTTTAAGTGTGGAATGGGAACTAGACTAATAGTTCTGGGAGGTAGGATTTAGGCCAATTAAAAGTTTTTTCTTCATATGTTTCTAGTGCATGCAAATTTCCTACAATGAGCACCTATCACATACATATGGGAATAAGGACAATTTATGCTAGTTTTTTGAAGTGTTTTTAAAAATCAATCAATTAATTAATTTATTTATTTTGTACTAGGATTTGAACCCGGGACCTTGTGCTTGCGAGGCAGGTGGTGGAATCCCTGAGCTAAATCCCCGGCCCATTGACATGTTTTTATTAGACAAAGTGAGTCTGGGAGGAAGGGCCTGGAAAGAGGGATTCCCCACAAGCTGCAGGAGGAGCTCCCCACACCCAGCAGGAAGTCACACACTGATGCACTCATTGTGCCTTTTCTTTTCCTCCTACTATTTTGAGTTGAGAAAGTCATAGGAGTCGTTTCACAATTCCAACGGTAGATGACCGACCGGGATTCCTCAAAAGTGTCGAGGCCAGGAAAGCCAAAGGTGAGCACTAAGAAGCCAGGACAACTGAGCCCTGGACCGGCCCAGGTGGAACCCAGCCAGGAAAAGGACCCAACGGGACACAGCGTCGCCATGAGGGAGCTCAGCAGAGTCCACTGACTTTCCCAAGTGGGTAACGGCTGGGCTCATATAAAATATTAACCCTTAGCCAGGGTTGGCGCACACCTATAATCCCAATGCCGAGGAAGCTGAGGCAGGAGAACTGCCTCAAATTTGAGGCCAGCCTGGGCTACAGAGTGAGTTTGAGCCCAGCCTGGACTAGGGAGACTGTTTCCAAAAAGAAAAAAGAAGAAAAAATTAACTCTGGGGGATCTTGGTAGAGAGTATAAGGGGATTCTGTGCTACTTTTGCAATTCAAAATTATTTTATCACGAGAGACATGTTTTAGCTTTAAAATGTGAACAGGCTCTTGTGCTAGGTGAAAACGCGCCAGGCAGAGTACGACTTCGCTCTGTCGCTCCGATTTGGGCGGCAAGATTTGGGCGGCAAGATTAGTAAGCGAGCGGCAGCCGCGGCCCGGCAGCCCCGACCGAACTGAGGGACCGCGGCCTTCCGTGCACAGCCCTTACTCTCGGCAGGACCTGGTCCCACGTCACAGCAAACCCAGAGCTTACGTCCCTGTCACTGCACTGGGCGCTTTAGACACATCAGCTCATTTCCACCCTCACACAACGCGACAGCTACTGCTATTCTTCGTCTCCTCTCACAAGTGAGGAAATTGAGGCACCCAGGAGTTATTTCTGCAGTCCAAGGTCACAGTGCTCCAGGCCTGGTGGGATTTTAACTGGTGCACTGCACAATCATGCCACCAGGTGGCAGGAGAGGACACGGTGCAGCAGGCGGAGCAGCAACCTCACCGGCTCAGGTTCATCTGCTGCCGCCCTAGCCCTACCCTCTAAGCCCAAGGTGCCGCTTCCTGCTGAGGTGCCCGTGTGTGGTGCTGCTGTGGGTGACACCAGTGACCTGGACGCTGCGTTCAGGTCCGAGCGGGCACAGCGGACAGCAAATGCTCAGACTCAGCCTGGAATCCCAGCACTCTGGGAGGCTGAAGCAGGACGATCACAAGTTCAAGCCCAGCCTGGCAACTCTGATTTAGAGAGACGCTGTCTCAGTATTAAAAAATTAAAAGGGCTTGGTTTGCAGCGGTGCGAAGGCCTCGGCAGCTCCCTGTACCAGCATTTACTAGTTAAAGATAGAATTCTCGCTTCTGTAGAATGCCGCAGAAGAGTAATTCAGCTTTCCCCCACTTGACGCCGCCTCACCACAGACAAAGAAGTTACACTGGCCTTCCGGTGGAGCTCGCGGCAGCTCTGCTCAAAGTCGTCCCCCTAAGCAGGGTCGCCAGCGATCAGAGCCCCTCCCCCTCCGGCCCAGTAACCATTCCCAAGGGAGCGACTTACTCGGGAGCCAGGGAGGCCCGCAGCATGGTTGAAGCCTGGGGAGGGGAAGAGAAACAGAAGGTGTCAGCGGGGTCCTGACCCGCACCGGCTGCCCAGCCAGATCTGCACAGTGTCTGATTTGCGGGATACAGTGGACTTTCGTACCCTGCCCTGCATCCCGGGGATGGCTCCTCCCAGAACTGCGATGTCTGCTCCCAGGTGAGAAGACACAGGCACAGCACCTGGCCCTAGACCAGAGTCAAGTCTCAGAGCCACGGTCCCTCTGCCCTGCCTGTTACCACCCCGTTCCCAGCCTCCGCTCTGGAGACCCACCTGCCTCGGCCTCCTTCTTCCTCACCCGCGGACTTGCCCTGCACCCTCAGTCCGAGTGGCCTGCTCTCTGTCCCGTCCTGGGTGCTCAGAGGCATCTTCCTTGCCTCGTGCTACCCAAGTCCCCCTTTCCCGCCCGTGCTTCTCTGTTGGAGTCATTTTGCCCCCAGGAACATGTAGCCATGTTTGGAGACATTTTGCATTGTACACACCAGGGGTGGTGGGACTGGCACCTCACGGGCAGTGGCCAGGGATGCTGCTAACCATTGTGCCCACAGCATGGAGCAGCCCGGCCCTGGACAGCAGTGGTGCTGGACAAGGACTTGGCTTTGTCACCTTTCTGTCTCGCCTTCCACACCAGGGAACGACGGAGGACGGGTAGGGACCACCCTGCTGGGCCAGAGGAAGCCCATCAAGTTGGCAGAGCCCCCGTGCCGAGATCCTCCCGCCGGCCGCTCTCTGGACATGTGCTGAGGCCCTAGCATGACCAAGGGGATGGGAGTGTTCTGGGAAGCGTAGATCCTGCTGGGCCAACTCCAGGAGCAAAGCTGTCCTCTCCCAGGGGCGCTGCCCTCTCTGACCAGATCCGGAGGGGCCTAACAGCATGGCACCCATGCAGGTGGCTCAAGAAATTACTTGTCCTCTGGGCATGGTGGTGCAAGCCTGTGATCTAGGTACTCAGGAAGCTGAGGCAGGAGGATCTCGATGAGTCCGAGGCTGGCCTGGGCTACATAGTGAGAGCCTGTCTCAAAAGCCCAAAAGAAAAAAAAAAAGAAACCACTTTCCTAAAACTTGGCTGTCCAGTGCTTACGGACCTGCAAAGGGCTGGATTTGCTAAGATCTCTGTGTGCTAAGAGCCCTGAGGCTGTGTCCTTCTCCAGCTAGGATGCTGCCCTCTCTGTCCCTGCGGCCACTGGCTCTAAGGCACCTCTGGGAATGCAGGGGACAACTGTTCCTGGCCATGAGACCCAATGCCTGCTCAGCCTTGGCACCGGGGGAATGGTACAGTCGAATTTTGTTTTTAAATTCTAAAAGTGAGAGGAGTAAGGGAGAGCCCTCGGCGACCTGAAGGGCGCAGCGTCATCCGCGGCCCCGAAGCAGCCACCGTGGGGTGTGCCGTGGCCTGGAGCAGCTTTCACGGCAGTTCTTCCAGCCTCATGAACAGAGCTCGCTGCCCGGTGTGGCAAGTGGGGCTCAGGAGGCCGTGGAGCCGCCCGCTCTGGCCTGCCACGGGGTGGGCTGTGAACCGCGCACTTTGCCCCCTGCACCGGCTGCTCGGAAGCTCCAGGGATACAGCTACGCAGGACAGGCATTGTTGTCCCCGCGCTTCCCCTGGCTTTGTTTTCTTTGCTCATCTTTGTCTCGATTCTCACGTTTGTGTTTCCTCATAAGCAGGAGGTGGGGTGTGGCTTTAGCTTATTTTAAACACGCCAGCCGGTCTCCGGGTAGGACTGTGCACAAGCCCTGGCTCTGACACACAGGTGCCCTAGGGTCACAGCTCTGCACACGGGGAGAAGCTACCATCTCCCAAACGTCAGGGTCGGGCAGGTGGAGCAGAGGTGAGGGAAATGTTGCGCCCCAGGCTCCTGGAGGAGGGACGCCTCAAAGGGCATGGTAGGTGCCGCCCAGGAAACAGGAAATGGCCAGTGGATAAGAAATGGACTCAATGTCGGCTCTAAGGAGTTGGTAATTATATAGTATATAACTGGGTCTTGCTACAAAGCCCAGGGTGGCCTTGAGCTCCCTGTGATCCTCCTGCCTCAGCCTCCTGAGTGCTGGGATTACAGGTGTGCAGCACCCGTCTGGCATGAGGGATTATTCTTAGTTTTACGAAATGCATACTAAATCTATAAATATGCACAATTTTCAGTATTGTTAAAATAACAAAGAAGAGAAAGAAATATGCATCCGTACTTAGGTATAAAGGGCTGTGATACATGGGACTGGTCCTCAAGGGGCTCGGAAGCCGCTGTGCGCCTGCGGGGCAGGGGCAGATGGGTTAAAAGCCAACGGTGGGTGACTCTGGGTCAGGGTGCACCACCAGTGTCCCATGTGCTATCACTGCAACTTTTCTTTAAGTTCCCAATTATCCCAAAAAAAGTTTAAAAAAAAATGAAGGAGCCCCCGCTTTAGTCCATGAAACTCCAATACTGCAGTCTTCTGGTTTTGTTTGCTTGGTTTTTTGAGACAGGGTCTCACTGTGTAGCTCAGCCTGGCCTTGAACTCACGATGTAGTCCAAGCTGGCCTTGAAACTCCTCCTGCTTCAGCCTCCCGAGTGCTGGGACGACAGGGGTGTGTCACCATGCCCGTCTTGATGCGCTGGTCTTATTTATTTGTTTGTTTGTTTGTTTGTTTGGTACCGGGGATGGAACTCGGGTCCTTGCGCATGCGAGGCAGGCCGCCGAACCGCTGAGCTACATCCCCGGCCCAATGCGCTGGTTTTACAGCGAGAGAACAAAGGTGCCCCCCACCCCTCTGCCCCGTCGGTCACGGCACCGCACTCCTCACACACCACCTGCCGCGCCGCCTCTGGTCCCCTCCCTCGCTTTCCCGGTCTGTAGCTGCGATCACCCCGTTTGGGGGCACGGGTGGTGGCAGCCTCACCGTGCCGGGCCTGGTGAAGTCCACGCTGTGTGCCAGGCTCTGCCGCATCTGGTTGCTGAACAGGCGGACACAGACGCTCTGCAGGTACTCGGGGGTGATCTGCGGGGACAGGGGAGGGGAGGAGGGTGGGACTCGCCCCCCAGAGGATGGAGGGCCCGGATCTGCCACACGAGGAAAGCCCGCCAGCGTCCTGCAGATGTGTCACTGCAGTCCCCAGGTGATTCCACCCGGGGCCTCTCCACTCCCGTGGGAAATAAAGACTTGTTTAAAAAAAAGAAAAAAAAAAGCCACTCTGTGGCCACAAGGAGAGCCAAGTGTGGAATTGGAGGGTCTGGCTCAGTCCTGGGCTCCGGAGGAGACCGGAACCTCTGTCCAGGGAGAGGACAAATGTCCATGCCCTGTCGCCGTGAGGGGTTGGTGAGGCCCAGGCATGCCGAGCACATGACAGGTGGCAGAGTAAACGCTTGCTGAGAGAATGACAGAGACATTATTCATAACCGAGCTGCGAGAGCATTACAACGTAAACATTCCTTTTTCACCCCATATTGTAAACGCTGTTCCTTCTCTGTAGCCCAAAAGCACGTTCAAATATGATTCGTACCAAAGAGTCCCCCGCCACCGGCTCCTCTCAACCTCTTCCCTTCCAGCCCACGCCCCTGCCGTGGTTTTCCGCAGCAGCCACATTCCCCACGGAACTCACAGGGCAAAGGCCCCACCATAGGGGCCTCCCAGGGCCAACAGTTCTCATTTCGGGGCTCTCTGTAGGGTCCGAGCCTCTGAAGTAACCCTTACTCCTGCCACTTTCTTCCTCTGACTACTGGAAGGGCGATCCGGACCACCCCGCCAACAAGCAAGTCTGATTTTGTCACCATTTTGCTCACAACAGGAGAAGTTCATGAACAGCCAGTGACCAAAAAAAAAAAGGTATGGCCAATATATAGGAAGATACATTCAGATTCACAGATGCATGCAAAGTAAAACATTCAGGGTACCAAGTTTCCCCTACCAGCCTTGCAAAGATTTCAAGGTTTAATCCTAGACAGATCTGCTATGTGAATGAGGAGGACTCTGATAACACTGCTCAGGGACAGGCACTGTTGACATTTTATTTATCTATCTATTTATTTGTGATTTGGTTTTTTTTTTTTTTTTTTTTTTTTTTT